CCAGTTCCCCAGGAGGGTCCCACCAGAGCAGGGCAGAGGGGACAGTCCCTTCCCTGGCCCTGCTGCCCATGCTTCTTTTCATGCTGCCCAGGACAGAGGGGTTCCTGGCTTGGTTCCTCTTGAGCTTCTCACCCACCATCTCCCCAGGCCCTTCTCTTTGGGGCTGTTCTCCATCCACCCTCCCCCAGCCTGGATTTGTGTCCTGACCCAGGGCCAGGACCTTGGCCTGGCTGATCTCCATGAAGTTGGGGTGAGGCCCCACCTCTCCAACACCTCAGTGACCTCCAGTTAATTACAGTGGAAGAGCCTTCCAATAGTTGATTCCCTGACACTCCATGATGCATGACACATTCCCAGTGCTCAGCCCAGCAGTTCCAGGGCACAGGAACCTGGTCAACCCCAATGAGCTCCATGTTCTGCAGAACCACCTTAATATGGCTAATAAATTAATTCTAATTAATCACCCAAGGTCCAACCTGCTCCAATTTGATTTCTTAATTGCATCAAGGCCAATTTAATTGGTTGGTGTCCAATGGGCGATGGTCAGAGGTGAAGAACTTTTGGAATCTTCTGCTGATGCTGAGCAGGGAACCACAAGAGCTGATGGATCCTGGCAGCTGGGAGGGACAAGCCAAGGAACAAGCCCAGTACTCACCACCATGTTGTAGGCATCAGGGACTTCGATTTCAAACTGAAACTTGCCCCCTTGGTAGTAACCCTCATCTGCAGCCAAGACAGAAACCAACCCAACCAGTTAACCAGGTTAACCGAGCACCAGGGGGAAACAAGTGGTGGGGTTGGTTGACCAGCCACCTCTGAGGGCTTTGCCAGCAGGTGAAAGTCCCGTGTGATGAGCTGTGTGAAAAGCCCACCAAGATAAGAGCATTTCTCTTGGGTTTCCAACAGATTGGGATGGAGAAGACCAGAAGGATCTAAAAGGTGAGACCCTTGGGATGGAGCTGGTCCCTGCCAAGTGGGCAAAGCACTCCAAGGAAGTCACTAGTCCATGGGGGGTTCCTGGCTTGGCTCCTCTTGAGCTTCTCATCCACACCCCCCACAGGCCCTTCTCTTTGGGGCTGTTCTCCATCCAACCTCCCACAACCTGGATTTGTGCTCCGACCCAGGGCCAGGACCTTGGCCTGGCTGATCTCCATGAGGTTGGGGCAAGGCCCCACCTCTCCAGCTCCCTCTGGATGTCCCCGTGCCCTCCAGCCTCCTTTCATGGATCAGGAAGGTGTTGCCTCAACCTCCTCATCTCCAAATGCCCTTGACCTTCTTGGCCAACAACTTCATGGACTGAACCCACGAAAACTCCCCTGGGAAAGGCAGCAGTCACCCTGGGGCACCACACAACCCAAAACCCACCCACTGACCCTCAACTTCAAACCACCTTCCCTGCAAACCCACCCATGAAACCACCAACACAACTGCCTCCTCCTCCAAAAGGTGGGGAAACTGTCCAAAATTCCAGATGGATCCAGAAGAACATGGATGGGAGGAATTCTCAGGAGGTGGTCCTGAGGATTTGCTTCTATCCCTTTCCCTCCTACTCCTGAATGACTTTCAGAGGTTTGACTTCCAGCCCAGCTGCCTCCACCCAACCCACCCCTTCCCTTGGCTCCACCAGTTGACTGGATTCTGAAGCCAACTCCCTGGAATTCCTAAGCCCAACACAAGGAAGCTGTGGAAAAAACAACCCACCTACCTGGGGTCACAGTCAGCTGGAAGTCATGGAGCTTGTTTGGGTCAGCAAAGCTCACCTGGCAGGTCCCTGTGGAGCAGAAGAGGAGGGTTCACACCAACCTTCCCCACCCCAGGACCTTCAACCCTTTCCCTTCCCTCTTGTTCTTTTCTCCTGCCATTTTAAATCCTGTTTTAAATTCCCATTTCCCACCAAAGATTCCAGGGCTAAATCCTCATCCTCCTGTGGGGGTGTTTTTCTTTAAAGAATTCAAACAAGTTTTTAAAAAACTAAGCCCCAGTTTGGGGCACAAAACCCCTTTTCCCTGGGGACAAACACCTGGACACAGCTGGGATGTGGGATCAGTGCCCACCTTTCAGGAAAACCACCCCATTCCAGGCTCTCTTTTCCCCCAAAAATGCCCCCCAGGCCTGACTTACCAGGTAAATTTGCCTCCAGCTCAGCCACCTCTGCAGGGAGAGAAACCAGCCCAGAGTGAAACTGCTGCAGCAAATCCCTTTCATTAGCAGGTTAATTAAACTGCCTTAGCATGAATTACCAAGCAATCCCATTGCCATGACAATTCCCAATTTCCCGTCACATTTCCATGACAATTTCCAATGTCCCATCACATTTCAATGCCAGATCTCAATTTCCTGTCACGTTTTCATAACAATTCCCAACTTCCCATCCTGTTTTCATGACAATTCCCAACTTCCCACTGCGTTTTCCTTCCCCAGCTGAAATTAATCCCTCAGGAAGTCCTTTCACAGCCCCTCCTGGCTCCATCTCAGCCAGCTCTGCCTCCCAGAACATCCCAATCCCAGTCCTTTCCCACCTTTCACCAGCAGTTTATCCCGGACAGAAACTCTCCGAGTCGAATCCGAAGCTGGAGGAGACGCCCGAGCTCCTCTGACTCCATCATCTCTCTTCAACTTGCTCGCCAGAGTCAGCATCACTGCTGCCCCCCAACCTAGAAACCAATTGGCATGAGGTTAATTAGGCTAATTGTGACTGGGAGGGGGTAAAAAAACAAAAGCAGGTGCCCAGTTTGTTTCTTCTCCAGCATCAGCCCCTTCTCTGCAGAGCTGAGGACAAAAGGAAGGGCCAGAGCTCATGGAAAACATAGAATATTCAATATATTCAATATTGTCTAGGAGGCACAAAACCAAGAAGGGAAGGGAAGAGTCCCAGGAATAACTCCCTGCTGCTAAGGGAGTGTGGGAAAGCAACGGGATGTAAAGCTGGAAAAATCCCCCTTCTCCCTCCCCAACACGGTTTCTTCTTTAGTCCTGGAATCAAGAAAGGCCCAAAACTACCTGGAAAAAGCAGCAGGGAGGCTGCAGATCCAGCAGCTGGCAGGGAAGAGACAGGGGGGAGACACCTGGAGGGCAGGGCCTCTGGGCCTGGCAGGTGGGTCAAGACCCTGATTTTAAGAGAGTAAATCCTTTTATCTATTTTCCAGGGATTTTTTTGTGTGTGTGTCCCTTTTGGGAAAAGCAGCTGGTTCCAATCTCTGTTTGAAAAAAAATAAAGGATGGAGCGATGCTAAATAACCTTTCTGCAATCACAGGCAGGACCTGGGAAGTGCAGGAAATCCCTTTCCCGCCCAAAAAAGCCGCCACCCTGATTTTAAGAGAGTAAATCCTTTTATCTATTTTCCAGGGATTTTTTTGTGTGTGTGTCCCTTTTGGGAAAAGCAGCTGGTTCCAATCTCTGTTTGAAAAAAAATAAAGGATGGAGCGATGCTAAATAACCTTTCTGCAATCACAGGCAGGACCTGGGAAGTGCAGGAAATCCCTTTCCCGCCCAAAAAAGCCGCCCAACCCCACCCCCAAACTCAGGTGCCAGGTCCAAACGGACTCACGGAACCAGCCCCAGGGAAGGAAACGCTTCGTACCAGG